AGTGTGTCTCTAACTGCCCTGAAGATCAAGCCACCAGTTAGTTATGGCTATGGTGTGTAATGTCAGAGGTTAGGCATCTGGGGGTTAAGTGGCCTGCACACAACTAAACTCATCAGTCCTTCATCTGTGTAGTCTAAAGCCACACACATGCTTCTGTTTCAGAAATGTCATGGAGTCCAACCCATATCACTATTTGCAATTTCCAAGAGCCACTGTATATTTAAGGATTTCAGACTTCACCTACTTAAGAGGAGCCAATTTGGGGACCAAAGAAAGGCCATTACAGAGTAACGTCCCAAGATATCAACCATTTTTGTTCTTTTTCCTAGGAAGTGTGTGTGTGTGTGTGTGTGTGTGTGTATTTAAAACATAAGATCATATGACATAGGGCCAGGGAGATAGCTCAGTAGAATCAGTGCTTGCCTGGCAAGCGCGAGGGCCTGAGTTCAATCCCCTACCCTGCAAAAAAAAAAAAAGATCATATGATATATACTGTTTTGTAAATAACATTTATACTTATTATAAGATGAGCATAATATGTAACTAAAACAATTTTAATATTTTTGATCAGCCCTTTAAAATTTTGTTGTCTCATAACTAATCAGCTGCCTGATGTAGAAGTTTAGTTTATTTCCAATTTTAATTATCGTAAAGCTAGCTTTGATAGGCTTCTTCATAGCTAACACTTTATGCACTTGTTTACCAACTACCTATGAGTGAATTTACAGAAATGAGATTACTGGATCAAAATATATGCCTATTTTTTAAGAGTTTTGTAATAGATTGCTAAATTTCTCATCAGAAAATCTGTGCCAGTTACCATACATTCTTACTAGCATTGTGTGAAAGTTTCTATTTTCTGTACCTACAATGATACATTATTTTTAAATATTTTCCAAGTTGATAGACAAGTAAATACAAATGTAGTCTTTTCTAGTCTGAAGTTGTATTTCTTTGCTTTTTAACAATGCTTTTTGATGTGTTTATTCTCCACTTACTTATCTTATTTGGTGACCTGCACATTCTTTGTCTGAGATACAGATGTTAAGGATTTAAAGTCATTTATTAAGGACTTTTATCAGGCACCACAGATACTTACTATGGTATGTCATTCAACTTTTAAAATGTTTAGTTTTTATTTTTATCAAAGTCACATGAAGATCAAGTAGACTACTCCACCATAATTTTCTGTTTCCCAAAATGAACCATTTTCAACTCTTTCAATTGATTTAGTAATTTTGACCATATCTCTAAATAACATGCTTATATTGCTATGTATTGATTTTTTGGGTTTGGACAGTGTTCATTAATTTTGCTCTGAGGAAATTTTATGTCATTCCAAACTCTGCTAGTTATTTATTTATTTATTTTTTAATGTATGTAGTACAGGGTCTACAGGGTCTCACTACACAGATTGGACTGGTAGTGATCCTCCTGTTTTCAGCTTCCCAAACCCTGGGATTAAAGGAGTGCATCACCATGCCCAGTTTTGGTGGCCAGCACAGGGTTCCTGGGTTCCAGGGCCGGCATGCCATACCAGGGGATCGAACCAGGTTTTTGCACGTGCCGGGTGTGTTTAGACGGCTGAGCTGTCTCCCCAGCCCCTGCTGGTTATTCCTTAGGGTCAGCCTGAATACCTTCAATGCATTTTTCCTACAACTGCAAGTTACCCTGTTTGTTCTGCACCTATACCATTCTGTTCATCTCCCTGCAGACTATCCATCTTGTTTTATTAATCCCTCCAATGAGAAATTTTTTGATAAGTGCAATATTTATCAATCCATGCACATATTTAGATTTATGCAAATATTTGCCACTCTCTTTGCTCATTACATCTTCTTGCGTGTGATACCTGTCAGTATAGCCGAGTTGCTTTTGTTCTTGAAATTCACCCTTCATAATTTCCCATAATGGAAGTGGATGGCCGATAAGCTCAGTTTTGATTGAGAATCTCTTTACTTGATAATCTCGAGATATTTTGAAAGATAGTTTTCCTGAAAATACAATTCAACTTTTTCCCCTCTTTTTTACCATACTGAAAATATGCACTTTTAACATTGCTGTTGAAAAACCAGCTGTTAGTCCTACTGCCATCTTGTACAGATAATTTGCCATGGTTTTCGTTTGTTTGATTTTAAGACTTGTGCTTACTCTGTGGTTTCCTGCAGTCTCACTGTGATAGGAAGGTCTTTTTCTTTCTATTTAGCCTCTTACCGTTTTATTGGGTTTCCTTTGAGGATTCTTATGTTTTTGATTACCTCTGGAAAATTCTCAGCCATTATCTTTTTTACATGTGCTTATTAGTCAGTTTTCTCATCGCTTGGTTTGCCCACAGTACAGTCCATGATCGGTGGGCCTCAAGGTGTAACGCTGAGAGCGAAGGGCGTGAGTTTGTTTGGTTAGGTTTTTGAAGACAGGATCTTGCTGCGTAGTTCAGTCTGGCTTTGCATTCACTGTGTACCCCAGGCTGGCTGTGAAATCCTAAAAACTTCCTGCCTCCACCTTTCAAGCGCTAAGATTATACCCATGCTGCCACACCTTGAGCAGGCATAAATCTTAAGATTTAATTTTTTTTTCACCTTCTACCATGATTGAAGGGCCAGGTTTCCTAGCTGTACCCTTCACAAAGCAGGTTTGTTTGCTTTGCAGCCACAACGTAGTCCTGTGGGACCTGCTTACACAGTGGTTTCCTTTCAGACTCCCTCCTTGAGGGTTGGTCTCCATCAGGAGCCTCCCTGAGGCCAGCAGAACAAGTTCAAGGTCACAAACCCAGAGCAAGTGCCAGCTTCAATCTTTGCTCACCTCTCTGTACTCCTAGTCTTGGCTCATTTTTGGCCTGGGAAGATTTGATTATCAATTTCCTTGATAACTCAACAATGTATTTAGAAGTATTTTTTAATCCTATTTTATTCAACATTTTTAGTTGTTGATAGTGGCAGCATTATTGAGGATACTGCAGGACTATTGTCAGGCTTTTAATTTTGTTTATAGTGTGTGTTTTTTCTTCTTACCTCTTTAGGCACCCTCAGGAAAGAACATGGTTCAGTGCGAGCCGTGTCCTATCTGCATGTGGCCATTCTTTTTTTCCTGAACACTGCAGTGGAATTCCTTGAGCTGAGTGGGCTCTGGGACTTCCATGCCTGTTCCCTGAGAAGGGGACATAGCTGTGTCCTTCACAGCCTGCCACAATACACCCATGGCTGAGCCTCACTTGTCTTAGAATTATAGCAGAGCTAAGTTTATCACCTTCCCTTTGCTCTTGGCTTCGAGCTCAGGGGAGTGGAACTGAATCCCTTCTGCCACCACAGTCACTTTGTTCTGGCTTCCTTTGAGAATAATTTTTTTTTTCTCCTTGTGTGCAGTTAACAAAGAAGATAGAGAAATCATCCTTATAGCCTTTTATCTCCTCTGGGGAGGCCAGCTTGGGGAGCTCAGATAAGAAGAGCAAAGAGAACATGCCCTACGGGTCACTGCTGCCCATAAGCCCAAGGCCTCAAGTTCAACCTACAGACTTCATGGCTGCCCCTGGAAATGGCCTCCTGGACCTACTTACTGTCTGAATGTTAGTCTTGTCTATCTGGGGCTGGCTCCAAAGAAGCCCAGATGCCTGGGCAACTTCCCTCCCCCTGCCAGGAAGCCTCTGCTAATTATCATCTCCAGGAAACAGAATTGGAGGCAGAAATCCAGCAATTCTCAAGGGGCTTGGGGAGGAAATAATTCCCTTAGGAAAGTTTACCAGAAGTTTTTTAATCTTATGGAAGTTTTTATAGTCACTGCCCACCCCACCCCAAATAAGTGAGCCATTGCTTCTGGCCCCACTGATCTGGAGCTGCACTGTTTAGCAAAGTGAGCCAGGCACCTGGTTACTGAGCGTTTGATATGTGGCTCCAGCACCCGGGAGGCTGAAAACGGGAGGATCACTATGAGTCCGAGCTGTGTAGCGAGACTTTGTACCAAATACATTTTTTAAAAAATTCACTGGATTTTAAAGGTTTAGTACCAAAAAAGAAAATAAGATGTTGGTAATTCTTTTATCAAGTACATATTGAAGTGATAGTAGATAGGTTAAGTGAAATACAAAATTAACCACTTACCAATCCAATTATTTAAATGTAGGATGACCAAAAATTGCATTTTTTTTAAAGAGCAGAATATATTTATTGGGGGAAAGAAAGCTTCTGTCCAATAGAGGGATAGAAGGGGGGCCCAGCAGGTTGTCCCCTTTCATTAATTTTTGTATCAGGAAATACAGTATCAACAATTTTATCATTTATTCAATACCAGAATCAACTAGTTGGCTGAGCATGGTGGTGCACGCCTGTAATCCCAGCACTCGGGAGGCTGAGGCAGGAGGAGTGCTGAGTTGAGGCCAGCATAGGATACAAAGTCAGTTCAAGGCAGCCTGAACTGTGCAGCAAGACTCCATCTCAAAAAGACCGAAAAAGGAGGGGAGCAAATCAACTGATTGAAATGAGCCCTGCCCAGGTGACACTCTCCATAATCAGTACTTAAATGTGCTGCCAGGTGATGCTGGGGGCAAACAGTGAAGTGGTTAAAATTAATTTCACCTTATCTTTAAAATATGGCTGCAAAGGTTACTTATACGGACAGCATTACCTAAAAGATAATTTATTCTGTGTGTGCACATGTGTGCGCGGGGGTGTGTTTGCATTTGCACACATTCAAATTTATGTAATTATACAAGCTGTAGTTCTGCCTGCTTGCAGCCTCTCCTTGACAGATGATTTGTCATGGTTGCCTCACTCCTACAGACAGAAGTGACACCATTCATCCCCATACAGGGTTTTCCATGCTGCCCATGTCCCCTGATCCTAAGCAGAAAGAGAAGGGATCCCAAATAGGGAAAACAAAAATGGGACTTCTAAGAAGCCATGTAGTTAGCAATAACCTCAGATGGTCTGGTCATGCTGTCTTTTCTGAAGCTTTAGTTTGCTTTTCAGAAACCCGCAAGTTCTCACTAATACGTTTGCACGTTTCAGCTGCTGTAAGGAACCACTGGCCAGAAAGTCATACTGAGCCCCACACAGAAGACATTACTTCTTATCAGAATCCAGAGGACCTTTCAACAGTGGATTCAAAAGAGGGTACTTCGGTTCAGGCCTCCAAAATGAGCCACACTTCTTCGGAAGCTCCAGAAAACCTTACTCTCCTAATTGCAAAAGCAAGTGCTGAAGGGAGGAAGGCATCTTCTAGTAGAACAGATTTCACTGTTTCCCCCGCTGGACGCTCACCTAGGAGTACAAGAGTGCTGACTTCTCAGAATAGCACCTTAGGTGAGTTTGTGATGATGCCTAAGCTGGGAATGCTTGTTTTACTCATGTTTATCCAGTCTTGGAAAGCAACATTTCTGCCTCATCCTTTCTCTCCCAACCCCAACTAACTGTGCCCATCTAGAAGTCCTGGGCTGGGGTGAACCAGATTTGTGACGTGAGCTCAATCTGTGAGATACTCATAAGGGCAGATCAGAGAAGGGTGCAGATTTTTCAAGCAGCCTGGTCGGTCCCTTGGCTTCTGCATCCCACAGCTAGTCTGAATCGAAGCTTCCTCCCTCTCTCAGGGATCCTGCCATGTACTCCTGTCTCAGAAGCACAAGTCTGGTAGGATGCATGCCTGAGAAAGATGGCCAGCCTATCTCTGTTGATGTTGTTTGTATTAATGTGGTTTTGTGTCGATGTGCTTCAAATAGTTGTTTTTGCTCCAGACTACACGGCTTTGAGGTTTGCTATTTTTAGCAAAGGATTTGAAGAAGGGGCTTGGCTTGATGGTGAGACTTAATTGAGAAAGGAACAAGTAGTTACTAGGTATTCACTACATTCCAACAGATCTGTTTTTTTCAATCCTTACAAAAAGTCAAATCATTTTAGGAATTTGAAAATTGAAGCTCAGAGAAGTTAACCCAACATGTGAAGGTCAAAGAATTAACATGTTTTAGGGTTAGGGTTGGAGCATAAAGCTGAATACTTCTAACAGGAGGGGTGGCTGAAGAGTGAGATTCCCCAATGTGAATGAAGGCAAAAGAGAAGCGATTTGGGCCTTTCTGTGGGCGGGCAGGGCCAGCATCATCGTGGGGGTGAGTGTAAGCTGTACACAGAGAAGAGGGTAGGACAGTTGTGTGGATAGGTTAGGGACAATCACGGAGCACTTTGCAAACCAAATGGCTTATACATGGTGTGGTGGGAAAAGTCGTCAAAGAGCTTTGCACAATGGAATGATACTGTTAAAACAAACCTGAGGAGGACTCAGCTGTCAAGCAGATCCAACATGTATGATGGGGGTTGGAGAGATGGGGGAACCTAGACTGAGGAGAATCAACCAGTAGACACAAATCTAGACACCAGATATTGACCTGTTTGCCACAGGGTGCAAAGGAAGGGGATTTCATAAAGACGCTCAAGGAAAGTTTGTGAGGACCTCAAGCTGGAGTATGGAAGTGTCAGAAGTGATTCCATGGTTTCACTCCCTAGTGACAGGAGATCTGACTGGGGGCACTAAAGTCTGTAAAAAAAAATGTATGAAAGTACTTTGTGTCTTATTTATGAATGGTGGCGTGACACTGCCTGGTTTGGTCATCCACATACTGGAAATTCTGTTTGATTGAATTCCAGTAAATTCTGGAACCATCTTTGTGGAATATGGGAGTTGGTGAGTTATGATTATCTAGCACTGATCTCTTAAGTCCATATTATCTGATATTTGGCTTGAGTCTATCCCACTGCTGGTAATTTTCTTCCCAAAACAAATTTTTTATGGCTTTAAGAAATAATCTGTATCCTAGATTGTGGTCTCTTGTTCAGGAGTTCATTTCCAGAGAACAACTGCTCCTAATTCCTTTTCACATCTATATATTTTATATAAGTCAGACTTGACCCACTAAAAGATTACTCAGACATTTACAAGTCTGCTGGTAGAATTTTAATCATTGTTTTTCCTTGTTCAGCCTTACAGAGGCTTCACTTGCCATCTAACAGTTCAGAGTCAGAAGGAAGAATTGCCTCTTCTCACATGGAGAGTGGAACAGTGCAAGGCTTCCTGGAGAGGGTGAAGGGCCTCTCAGAAGAAGCGACTGTGCACACTCAAGTGTCTGGCACTTCAGTTTTGAGCCAGTCCTCGCATCCTGCTTTGGAACCAGGAGAACTAACCATGCTGTCCATGAAAAGAAATTCCTCAGGACCACAGCTCTCATTGTTTCATTTCTCCAGGACACCAGCTTATTCTCCTTCTTCAGAACATTCTTCATGTGAGTAATCCTGTCCCCTGCTTACCCCTCCAAAATCATTCAAAACAGCCTTAAATAGGTGTGTGTAGATGGCTAATTAAATACCTGTAATAGGGCCTAAGATGAAAAAGACAGTAAGCCAAAAATGCCATTCCTCTTCTGCCAAGTATTTGGGGTAGAAGCACAACGTACGCAGTTAATCTCAGTATTGAAGTACATGTTTAAAGTATGTTTTCCTTAACCATATAAGGAAGATAATCGTTGGCCTGCCTCCCCTCTCTTCTCTGTCCTTTATCCAGTAACATACAAAATGTTAAATGGTGCGTATTCTTTCACAAGAGGCCATGGGTTAGAGAGCATCTTAGTGACTTTCTAATTGCTGGGATAGAGTGCCCAACGCTCACAAGTAAAAGGAGAAGAGGTTTATTTAGCTCAGCTTGTAGAAATTTCAGTCCTAGTGGGCCGGCTCCAATGTAGGGTGGCACGACAGAGAGGCCTGGTGGAGGAGAAATAGTTCATGTTGTGGCAGGCACAAAGCAGCACAACTTCCTCCTCCTTTTCTTTCTGATTTCATGCAGGCTATAAGCCCTTGCCTGGTGCTCCCCACACCCAGTGTTGGTCTTCCCACTTTAATAAATCCATCACCCACACCCAGAAGTATGCTACCCCATTAGAGGACCACTTTAGTACCCCCCCAATGACCCAGGCACTTCCCAAAGTCCCACCTATGAGTACATGAAGCTTTGGGGAGACATCTACATGTAAACTGTAACAAAGTACTTTTGTGAAGTGTTGAGCAGTGTATCATTTATTTCTTAATTCTTGCAAAAACACTTTCCTCAATGGCAAAGAAAAGTGGAGGTGTTTTTGAGGCATGTATTTAGTCACTGGTTGTGGAGTATTCTGCTTTCCCCTTCTACTTAGTGGTTAGCCCTAACTCAGGGATTCCATTTCCATGAGCCTCTCTTCTTCCCTCTGGTCCTCTGTGCTAAGCATCTTGTGGTACCAAGTCACCAGTGCCTACCTGTATACAGACTGTGCTCCCCTTGAGGACACTGACTGGGTCTGTTACTTATTCTAGGTCCCCCACTGCCTCTGAACAAGATAGTCCATGAGAAATGGGAATCAGCATGTCCCCAACTCCCTGTACAAGGCACATCGTGTCATGTCAAAGAGAATGCTGGAAACTGTCCCTCCTCAGTGTTGTTATTCAGGGGCTCTGCTGCTCCTTTTCATCCTCAGCCACAGGGTGCAGGACAGAGGGTTGGAAGCATTCTTGGGAAATTGAAGTTAGGCTACTTCAGAAATTACCATTGCAAATTTCACATAGGTCAGAGGCTTCTGGAAATACTTTGCAAGAACAGGAGTTTGGGTTTATGTCATCAAAGCAAAAACTGATTGTAATGCCTATTTAGCCAGCTCCTCTTCCATATACTTGGTATATGGTTTCCTGCTGGCTGGGTATGGATGTAATTTATGATTCATGTTTTTAGAGGATTGCCTGGTAAGATTATTAATAATCACTGGCTGGATTAGATAAAGCTATGATCCTGTGTAGCTCCAAAGTTCTGTGATTCAGTGATTTACAACCAACTTTTCTAAATGATGGAAAGGAAGCATTTTCTAGGAAATTATATTTTTATTTTAGTCAGGGTCATTTAAATATTTACAATTTAAATTGATATAGCTGAAAATCAGCCCATGGGGGTTGGAGATATAGCTCAGTAGAATAAGCGCTTGCCTGGCAAGCCTGAGTTCAATCTCCAGTTCCACCAAAAAAAAAAAAAAAAAAAAAAAAAAAAAAAAAAAAAAGAAAAAAAGAAAAAAAAATCAGCCCATGTTTTCAACTTTAATGTATTCAATCTCTATTCACCTGTACTTTTTCAAAACAGCAACAAAAATTGGCCCTTAAAATCTTTGAGTATTTGTCCTTCTAGATCCTTATGGTACTAATTTTTAGAGAGTTCTACTCTTTCATATTCACTTAGTCTTTTACTGAGAATTTCTCTTCCTTAGGGAACTAAATGTTCTGTTTTATGTAAAGTCTGACCATCCTCTTAGTTGCTCCAGAGGGCTTTGGGGTGGGGGACATATGCACAAAGACCTGAAGTTCAGATTTATTGTTAAGGCTTGTCTAGCCTGCCAGCCCACCACAAAAGGTGTGTCCACCGCCTAGCTCCCCTGAATGGAAATCTTGAGAGCTTTCTCTCCCTCTCTGACTGAATAATAAAGAATCTGCAAGCAACTGAGCAAGACTATAGAGGGAGTCCGCAGGACCTGCCAAGGCAGATCTGCAGTGGGTCTGGCCTGATGGGCAAGCTCTACAAAAAAACAAATGCTTATGCCACTCCACCCTCTAGTAAAAAGACCAGCATTCAGACCTGTCAGATTAGTGATTGTCCCTCCTACACAGGCACAAGGATGATGGGCTAGAAGCCTGGTACAGTGATGATGGCACTCCTCAGTGAAAACCTGAAGGGCTCAGACTTGATCTGAAGGAGCCCTGCTGGTCAGCATGTGGGATTCCACACCTAGTCTTTGTAGTTTGGGCTTACTTCACTACCTCCCTCTACACAGAAATGCGTGTGCAGCACCTCTGATGAGGCTAGGATACCCAGCAGTTATTTGCTCCTGAAAATAAATTGTACATTTTATAGTATTAAGGCAGCCATAGGCCCAGGCAACAGAATTAGATGATTTAAAAGATATTGGAAGCCACTTGAAATTACTTTCCTGCTGCCTTATATTCATTGCTGCTTTGTATCTTTCTGTACTTTGCATGTTTTCTGCAATAGTCATGTGCTATTTGATCACAGGGGAAAAGTAAACGAAGTAACGGGGGAAAGCTTTTTTGAAGGCGGAAAGAGATGTGTGTGTTGAATTGTGTGAGGTGGCTACAATTGAGCACTAAATTTAGTATAAGCTTCCTGAAAGGCAGGGCACAAAGGGAAGCTGGGTGGGGCAAACGATTGCTCAGATAAAGCACACAATTTAATCCACAGCCATAAATGTTATGGGACCAGTAAATTCTAACAGGAATTATTTATATAGGGAATGTTGAAGGCCGTAATAGAAAATGCTTTCAATTACTATTTTTGTGGAAATTGTACTGGTGTTCTTTAAAAGATGGTGTTTTCTATGGATTTTCAGTAGGAGCTGAGGGTGTCATAATGGACCTGAACTTAAAAAAGTATTTCTGTGGGTAGCAAAGGTAATGTGGTCCAGGTAAATTGCTTTGTGGTGATTTCACTTTGTAAAGGGAGCAGACATAAATAACTTAGAGGATTTTAGATTTTGTCTGCCTTTCCTAAATATCAGCTGCTTCAGCTATACTTTGGGCAAGTCTAGATAGCAGTCAAATCAAGGTTAAGCACTCTGACACATGTCTGAAGCTCTCATATTTTGCATTGTGGTTGGAGAGTGACACACATACTTTCACATCCTTTTACTAAAGGAGTGTGCATTCTTTCCACCTTCTGTTACAAAGACTAGGAACCTGGCTTGGCCCTGAGAGGATTGTTTTCCCATATTTGAGTAGCTGTTTCAGGGGTAGAAATGGGCAAGAAAGGCAACTGTTAAATGCTCATCACTTGAATTAAAATGTGGAAAATTTCTCTAGATTTAGCCAGTGCTTACTTAGGATCATTAGTAGTGATCATAGATTAGTTTGACCAAATATTTCCTGTTTATTATGAGGCACTACTACCTCCTCAGCAGTATTCACATACATTTTCTTTCATTACTGTGAGGATTAAGTGAAACTGATATATAAAGAATTTAGTACATCACAATCGGCCAAGTAAGGTAGCTTTTTGTGATGAAGCAGGTCGGGCAAAATAGAGTCATTTTCCTTCTGTGATTTAACATTTGTGACTTTTGTGGTTTATTTTTGTGGTCACTTGTTAAAACCACTAAAATGGGCATACCTGTAATGTCCAGCCTGAATCCAGCACAATCCCCGCTGTGTTTTGATGGGAACATTGAATGGCATAAAATAATGCCATTTAGTAGGAATGAAAATGTTTTACAAGTAGTTTGGAGCCAGGCATCCAAACTACTAGCATTATGGAAAACTGAGATGGGAGAATTCCAACCCCGCCTGGGCAAGTTAGACCGTGTCTCAAAGTGAAAAGGGCTGCAGATGTAGCTCATCGTAAAGGCCTTGGGTCAATTCCAGGTACCATTTTAAAGGATACTTAGGCTTTTCTTTTTTATACTGAAGTGCTTTTTGTTTACCTTTTATTTTCAAGTAGGTAGGGTTGGGTTTGGGTAATCTGTAACTTTATTATTTTTTCTGTAACTTTATTTTTATGTCTCAATCTTTCTATTCCTTTATTTCAGTTACTGTTTCTCCGGATTCCATGCATCTTCACTTTGTCTTCATTAGGGTCTAGCATCTAGAACTGCAGGCTGTTTTAGAGGTAGTTGGGGCTGTGGATTTTGTTGTTGTTTGTCTTTTGCTGGTACTGAGGACAGAACTCAGCTTCTTGGCAGTAAGCTATATACCCAGTCCCTTTGTAAATTTTTTATTTTGAGATAAAGTCTAGTTAAATCACTAAATGCCCAGGCTGGACCTGAACTCGCTATCCTTCTGCCTCAGCCACTCAGAGTGCTGGGATTATGGGTGGGTGAGTGCAACCATTCCTGGCTAGGGACTATGATATTATGTAAGAATAAGAGGAAGGCTTTGCTTCCTGTACTCTTTCTCTCCAACTATATCTCAAATTTATTTGTGCTTTTGGTCACAACTGCACACAAGACTGCTCTTCAAGGAACTATTTATAATGACAATTTCCTTTTCCCTTTTTTATGTTATAATTAACATCTCAAAGCCTTTCATTATATCAATTTAGAGTACTTCTATTATTTTTAGCTTTTTAAAAAGGCACTCTCTTTTTGCTTGCCATGTTGTTTCTACTCACCAAGCTTTCCTGCACTTTATTCCTGTTTGGAATGAGGATTTCTTTTTCAGTGCTGGGTACTCAATCCAGGGCCTCACATATGCTAAGCAAATACTCTACCACCAACCTACACCCACAAATCCCTTGGAATTAACATTTTAATGTGCCCTTTTGGAGGTTGGCTCTCAGGACATCCTTTGAAAATGCCTTTATAGAAGGAAGCCACCATAATGTGGAAGCACACTATACATATTTTGACCAGTGGCATATAAATCAATTCATAAGGTTTTTCAGAATTATCCAGTGACTGCTATCCATTGATCAGAAAAACTGTTCCCATTACAGAGTTCCTGATCTCCTGGTGAACTTGCTGGTATAGTATGTTGGTTAGAACCAATCCCTAAAATTTAATGAGATTCAGTATAATATTGAAGCCTGTGTACTTTTGGGTAGACTTAAATAAAATTTGTAAAGTGATAAGAAGTACCTTCTGTGCTTACCTGGCAAGCACAGGGTCCTGAGTTCAATCTCCAGTTACACACACACACACACACACACACACACACACACACAAAAGAAGTACCTTCTGCTGGTTAGAAGTTCTGTTACTTAATGAATGCAGTTTGGTTTAATAAGTCTTCAGTGGGCACACTGAGACAGCAATTGAGACTGGGCATAGTGGCATGGCATGCACCTGTATGCATGTAAATAGGTGCATTTACGTGGGAGCTCTTGGGAGGCTGTAAACAGGCGGATCACTGCAAATCCAATGTAGTAGTGAGACCCTGAACACCCTGTAGACCCTCCCCTAAAGTACAAAAAAAAAAAAAAGTCTTCAGAAACATCAGATTTATGGTGACCATACATTGGAGAATAATAAAGAGCCTTTAATGGTGATAAGGTTGGAAAATTTTGTCCTGGGTCACCAGTGTGCTATATTCTATAGAATCCTAGACCTTCTCCCTTGTTTCACCTCCCCTAGTGGTGACCAGGGAATTGGAGTCCCTGTAGTGGCCTAACTTTTATGGACTGGATTTTAATCTGTGATAGTATGAGCAAAAGGGTTACATAGCTAAAATTAAACAACACATGCCTTATCACAATTGCTTGTCTTGCTTAAGATACAATAGGGAACTGAGTAGCAGAGGTTTTCATCTTCCTCTATAAAGACCAAAGAGGGCTGGGGAAATAGACAAGTGCCTGCCTAGCAAGTGCAAGGACCTGGGTTTGATCTCCAGCACTGCATGCTGTGTCAGCCCCTAGAACCCTGGGCAAGCTGTGCTGGCCACTGAAGCTGGGCATGGTGGCGCATGCCTATAATCCCAGCACTGGGGAGGCTGAGACAAGAGGATCACTATGAGTCTGAGCTGCATAGGTGAGACCCTGTGCCAAATAAATAACTAGACTGACCAAAATTTGTCTTGCATTCTCCTGTATTCCTTTTAGCTTATACACAAAGCCTTCCCTTGTGCTGATGAGAGCCCTTAGCCACTCAGTTCTGTGAAAATTAGGACTAGTAAGGAGAGGGAAAGATAGTGCTCTGGCTGCACATGTTTGTGTGTAACGATATACAGGTGTTTAAAGCTCCATCTTTAAATTTATATACCAAAATGTAATAAACATTGTATCTAGATATATACTTGATTTTCTTAATGCTTTGAATAGTTTTGAAGCATGTTTTCATCTATTTTAGCTCTTGAAAATGTACAGGAACTGAACTCCAGTGTTTCCCAAAGCCCATCAGTCAGCCAGACCAACAGTATGCATGTTGCCACTACATTAACTGATGGTGCCCCGCGGAAGCTCCAGTCTTTGACTGTCAATCTGAGGCCTATAAACAAGATGGTGGCTTTTCCTGAAGACACCAAAATCACCACAACTTCTGCCACAGTCCACTCTTCACCCTCTGTAGTGGAACTGCGAAAAAATGGCAGTATAACCAAGAATCCAGCAGATGAAGAATTCACTAAACAGTCCACAGAAAATGAATTTGATCTTACATCTGTACATAAGCAAAATGATTCACCAAGTAAGTACCTTCTCTTTACTTGATCTGTTAGGGAATTTTTAAATAGTTCGTTTTTCTTAAGAGTCCTCAACAAGACCATTTAGAATCTTCAAGGAGAAGAGAGCTCTTTGATGATAACAGCACCTTTGCTTGATAAGTCACATCACTGCATTGGTTTTGTAATTTTGGTTCTTTTTTTTGGGGGGGGGACTGAGGATTGAACTTAGGCCCTTGTGCTTGCCAGGCAAGCACTTATTGTACTGAGTCATCTCCCCAGCCCCATACTGCATTGGTTTTCATCCTGGCAAGAACATAGTGAAGTTAACTGGACAGGTGTCACCCCTCCTGCTTGAGAGGAAATGAAGGCTCAGAGGGTTTAAGTAATGTAGGCATGTTCTTTTTGCTCTGCAAAATTATTTCCAAAGTAGTTGGCCCACACTGTACAACTACCAGTGATTTTGTATATAGGTCATCTTTATAAATAAATGTGTGGATACAAACATAGTTCCCAAATTCATGGTCTGATTTAGTTTCTACAGTTGATTTTTTTTACTATGCTTTAGAATTAGAATAATCTTTATTAATATAACAGCTATTTTTTAAAAAGTGCTCTCTATATACTACATTTATGAACTTATTTGTTGGATAGAATAACGTAATTCCTTGAATTACTTTTCATGGGCAAGAGAATAAAACAATCAAGCTCCTAAGTTACTCTGATATTTGTGTATGTTTTTCAAATCCCTTGTTTACTAACCTGTAGTGTTTCTTTCTTCTTCAGACCCAAGTTTTAAAATAATTTTTTTAATATGATAATGTATGTCAGGTGATACATATAATAAATTCTATACATGATTCTTTAGAAAGCGAAATTTTTCCTTAGCAAGGACTCACTACTTAGTTATTGAGTGATCATTTTCATATATATATATAATATATATATACATATATATAATGGAATTATTTCTACATTATTTTCTAGCTTTTGGAAGCCATCAGCTTACTAGCACCTTAGAAGCAGAAAATAAGAGTTCCATGCCTCTCACTGAGACTGCATCTAAGTCGGTGCCCTTCATCAGAGGTGAAAAGAGCACAGCACAATGGTTACTGATCAACAGCAAGACACCTGCTGACGTGACAAGAAGTTCTGCTTCATATGATAGAGTTCTGACCCAGTTCTCAGACTCTGCTCAGCAGTTTATAGGAGGTAACACAGCACTGGCTGAGAACAGTTACTCAGAGTCTTTGTCTACATCTTCCTTACAAAGCCTGGAATCTTCAGCACAACATGGAGAACATTCAAGTAAGCTTTCATATCACAGAAGTGTACCACAGGGAGAAGAGAGACTTGGCAAGTTTATGATCTTCTTTGGGTACTAAGGCAGGCACTGATGAAACAACTCCTCCATCTCCTCTAATTTTATCATTCCTAAGCCATTCTTCTATCTGATGAATACAGAGCTACCTGTATATCCTAACTTTTTTCTAGTACATGTCCGATAAGCTGTTGATGGAGCATCCTCTTCTCACTATGTTGATGTCCTCCTAATCCTTATAGACCACCCCACATACCCATACCTACCTCATCACAGAGCTTCTGGAAGGTGAAAACATCTCATGAGCCATTATTCAGCTCTGGTTATTCAGGGCATTCATCAAAGATACTTCCCCTCTTGCTAACAAGTTTGAGACAATTCAATTTCTGTACAATATACCCACTTAAAGTGTATAGTTCAGTGATCGTATTTACCAAGTTATGCAGCCATCACAACTACCTGATTCTAGAACATTTTCATCATCCTCCAAAAAACAAAAATCCTGGAGCCCCTACAAAGCTGATGGTGGAAAATGATTCCCTTTTCTTAAAAAATAGATAATCTGTTTCTCATGCAGAAACATAAAGGTATAAATATTGCACACCCATGTGTTTTATTCTTTCATTATCAATATTTGCTTTTCCAGGCCACATGAGTAGTGAATGACAATTTTTCTTATTAGCTAGTGGTAAAGAAGATAGGTATTTAAAATCTTCCCATCCAAGTCTTTTTCTCCTTGACCAGAGAAATTGTGCCCAGGAGTACAACCCTCAAGCTTCTGCTAGTTGCTTTTCCGTCTCCTGAGCCCTTTAGCTGGCCTCATCACACCTCTCTCTAGTTCCTGGCTTGAAGCTGCTCTAGATCACTGGGTGTCCAGTCCCAGTGCTCATTTCTGACTCAGTCAATTGAAACCTATCCTGAAATGAATTTATGTAATGCTCAGCTTTACAGCCATTTTCCATCAAAGCACTGAGTATCAAGGGACAATCTGGGATGGGAACAAAAAAAAACTAGTAAAGAAATCTTTTCTTATAGAGCCAGATTGTGAAGTTTAGGCCAAAAAGAATTGGATCTCTGTCATCATATCTGAAAAGAGGGGTTTATTTGATAATCTAATGTAATAATCTAAAATAGTTCCAAAATATAACACGCATAAGTGCCTGCCTGGCATGCACAAGGTCCTGAGTTCCAGCCCCGGCCCCACAAAAAATAAAAGAAAATAAAAATTTAAAAAAATATATAACACCCAAAGGGAAGAAAGGGATATTTATTCAAATGTCACTCCTTCTATCTCCATCAATACAGCAAAACAAGTGTATTTTTAAAAATTAAAAACAAAATATTAAGTGTGCTGTGTCTTAGTTATGACCGCATGCTGTCTTAGTTATGACCAATATTCTGCAACAGCCCTGAGGAACACTGTGCCTCCTTTCAAGGCCTTGACCCAACATTCGAGGCCCCAGCCTGGTTGCTAGTTCTTACCCCACCAACTCTTGTTTTTGCCACCAATGACTTTTCTGCAATAACTTTTATTATATATCACCCTGCAGAAACTGAAAATCAAATTCAGGGGTGAGGTTCACTGCTGACCTTACGGGGAAAATTAATTTGGTTTGCGACCAATTTGGTTTGCAACCAGAATGGCGGAAAGAACCACTATATATCCTGTTCTCTGTGGCAATAACCCTTCCCATAAATCCAAGTCACCTGAGCAGAGGTGCTGATTCATAGCTTCACTCGGAGTTTCATAAAAAAACGAAGCTTCTAAGAAAGCACAAGACCTGGGGCTCTGTCTAGGGCACTGCACGTGACCACTACCTCTTCTGCTTTCAGCACAGGAACACAGTACAGCGCCTGGAGCCCCTTCCCCTGCCGAGGAAGAGAGCACTTCCGGGGCGCATGCCCGCGGAACGCACACGTCGTCTGCGATGCTCACCGGAAGTGGGGAGCGCACGCTGCGCTCTCTCAGCCTTCCCGATGCGGTGACGTCAGCGGAGGCAGGCAGCTCTGTAGCAGCTCCCCGGGAAACTGAGGGCACTGATCTGCATGGCAATGTGACAGACGACATGGGCGTGATCTCACGGTCAACGGCTGCCTTGCCTGCTCTTGGAGGTGGAGTGTCTTTCGCAGCAGCGACTATTTCTACCTTCCCTCAGCTCATCTATCGGTTTACTCACAGCCCCTTGGGTGATTCAGTTGGCTGGCAACCCAAGAAGTACCTCATGAATTCTCTTTATGAGAAGTTTTGGGTTCTCCCACCTCAGGACACCCCCTCCTCAAATCCCTGCACACACTTGGCTGAGGTATATGGGATGACGTCTCCTGGAGGCTTAAAATAAAGGAAACCAGTCACTGTGTAGTTAAGGCCAATCTCCTGGGAAAGAAATATCTCATTATACAGAATGGAAAGTTGGGTGGGTTTTCCTTTTTCCATTTAAGCATAACAATTATTCTATTTGGGGTCTTGAAAGCTTTTCATAACAATTTGATTTTATCAAAGAAGGCTATGGAAGGAATTTGGAGCTATTCCTTATTTTTAGGCCCTTTCAGTACCTCTTCCACCAGTACTCCTCACAGTAGGAAAATCTCAGAACACTGATGATTGTAGCCTTTCCATATGTGTTCATCCAGAGTGCTCAACATTGGAAAACCACCTCCTCAAAGAAAGTCTTTCACTTACTTGAGTTCTTGGATACACCACCAAAAGTCAGTTTATAGTCTATGTTTTAGAAATTTCTTGTTTATTTACTTGACCTAACTTTGGATTTTTCCTTTATAGTCACTGGACTTAGTGGTCAAATGAGTGGCACAGATACTGAACAAAGGGCTTCCAGTGACCACAGAGACCACACCTATGTTTCATCTACTTTCACCAAAGGAGAACGGGCATTACTGTCTATTACAGATAATATTTCATCCCCAGACATCAGCGAGAGCTCAACTTCTTATGTTAAAATCTCAAACTCTTCATATTCAGACTCTTCTTCCTCTTCTCTTGTTCAGAGTAAAAGAAGTAATGTTTCATTCTATGATGGAAAATATGCTCAGCCTTCCACAGAGTCACTGGTTCTGCATACATCCAGAGCTCCATCCTACACATCCACCATTAAAATACCAAATGTCTTTGTTCCTGTGGGTGCCGATACTGGAACTGTTGATGACTCATCTTCAGGGTCCCCATTCCCTCCACCCTCAGTATCACAGTCCTTCCAGTTTTCATCAAGTTTACCGTTAACCAGGACCTCCACACATCAGCTCAAGTCTACCTCTGAGGTGTCCACAATTTTGTCTTCCTCACCATCACTTTTATCAATGTCTTTGATGGCATCTACTCCACTTTCAGTCCCACAAGAAACTTTACCACGTTCATCTTTTACTCCAGTCCTATCTAAGACAAGGGAGACACCTGTGACGTCAGTTCAGACATTGACAATGGCGTCATCCATAGCAGTGAGCCACAGTAGTCAAACAACATATCCCAACACCCAGAGTACTCCCCACCAAGAGAAAATTTTTACAGAACCAAAGTCACCAATCCTGGTGTCTCTGTCCACAGAATCCACCAAAGCTATAACAAAGAACTCTCCTGTAGAGGTCCCTTTGCCCTCAGCCTTAACAGAATCCTTTACTGAGCCAGCTCTTACAACCATGAGCACCAGCTTAACCTATATGTCTCCAACACTGGCCACCACCAATCTTAAGACCTCTCACCCTCCCGTGATCAGTCCCAGCACTCTGTCAAGCACAAAATCTCTGGTCACTGGCCCTGGAGCTGTACTTACTATATCTGGAAAAGAGCTCTTGCCAACCGATCCTGAAATTCTAGTGCCACGCATCTCAACAGAACATGACATTACCACAGAAAGGAACCAAGTGCATATAGATGCTACAACCCAGTCGATCCCTCTGACTAGTGTACCTGGATCAGCAAAAGAATTGAGCACAAGACTTGGCATTACAGAAGAGTACAGCCCTGCTTCACCTTTCCTCAGAACATCACCTTTCACCAAAAGCACAGATGTATCTACTGCTGAAACAACTCCTAAATCTATCACCTTCACTGCCCAGAGTAGCACACAGTCACCAATGACATTGTTACCAGGTAAGATGCATTTCACAAGTGGATATTGACTGGTGGGCCCTAGCCAGTACAGATTGCTACAGGAGGCTTGGGATTCATGAGAATGTGTGGAAATGGCTAGTATTTATGTAAGCGTCTTGTTTGGTGACCTAAAATGCTACCCTTTGAAATAGTTTAAAATAAAGAATTTACAGTGGAGCAAAATTTCCCCAAGTTATGTGACTTTTTGAAAAAAAAGATATGATACATTCATTGGCCACATCTGATATCAGTATATTCCAAGGTGGTAACTTTTTTATTTTTATTTATTTTTTTAGTGTATTTAGGATAGGGTCTATAGGGTCTCACTACATAAATCAGACTCGTAGTGATTTCTCCTATTTTCAGCCTCCCAAAGCTCTGGGATTACAGGTGTGCACCACCATGCCCAGTCTCAGTTGTTGTCTCAGCATGCCCCCAGGGGTGGGGGCAGCACAGCACACCAGGAATTGAACCCTGGCCACTGTGTTCTGCCTAACAGGCGCTTTAGTCCACTGAGCTATCTGGC